TCAATTCTTCCCACGGGTTTTTGGTATTAACCCTTCTCATTTCAATGTCTCTCAGCACTTAACACTTTCTATTGATAAGAAAACTTATTTAGGTTTTATTTTACCACAGTAACAACAACTAGTATCACAAGTGTTACTCTTCCACCACTACGTCTTGAGATACTAGTTTGAACATGTCTGAAGTTACTCACCAACCTAATAGGGGATAAATTTATTTTCAAAAATCTTCTCTTTATATAAAAAATAATTAAAAATTAGTAAGTTTTTTGAATGGTTGAAATAAAGACTGATCATATTAACTTTTGCTTTAGTTTAATATTTTATACAGAAAGAATTAATATCTAGCAAATACCCTTAATTAAATAGAAAAAGAAAGGGCATGTAGACAATATTTATAAACTGTAAGGAATGTCTATGATGCTGGTCATTCATTCACTGCACAAGGATGGCTACCAAACAGGCCAAAGTGGATAAGGTGTTTTCTCAAAAACCTTCATAAGCCTAATTTTACCTGTGCATTCATTTAGTCATATATAACTTGTGCAATGCTATATGGGCTCAGCATGTGTGTATTTGATTGTAAATGTTTGATTTGATTCTTTAATTCAGTGACTGATTGAAAAATGTGAATTTCTTAATAATGAATAATTCTTTTATAAGGTTGGTAACAAAGTTTCACTTTCTTTAATCCAGCTTTGGATCTCTAAAGTCCCTAATTTCAGTTTTTGCTACTGTTTGATTTTTTTGTTATTTTTAATGCTCATTATTCCTTATTGTTTTCATGCCAAGCTAAATCTTTTCTGTTGGGTTGTTGCAGTCATTAAAATGAAATCCCTGCAACTGTAAGCAATTGCCTGTTCTATGTCTGCAAGGAGAATCTAGCAGGGATGCTTGGAAGGAAGAACTAGATCAAAAATTCTGAGCCATAGCAGCAGCAACAAAATTGTGTTATCTCCACACCCATCAGATCATGCAGTTTTTCCATTGATTGTGCAAAGTGCATCTGCTAATGTTTAAAACAGCATCATCTTTATTGTAAGCTCTAGCCTTCACAATGCCAAGTCCCCGTCCCCGCCAGACAGACTGAATATACTCATATTGAAGAATATTAACTATCTCTTAGCTGGCAACCAATTAGTCATGGGCATCCACACCAAATTCTCTTGTAGCTAGCAACCAACAATTTGTTTTAGTGCCTGCCCATTCTCCTATAAAGGACAAAATACTGTTGCTCAGTTAATAAAAATGTTGCCTCTTTTGATGACTTATTGTGAAGTGTAGCACAAAAGGTTACTTTGTCATAAGGACTTCAGTGTAAAGTGCTGGACACCTCTGTCAAATTGCAGGCATCACAGCCTGTTTCTGAATCTTTTTAGAGCAAATGTTTTTTGTATAATTAAATCTTACATTTATAATATTGCATAAATTGTAAAAAGTGGATGATTTTTTTTTTTTTTTTTTTAGATAAGAAAAAAAAAACTTATGAATACTGTTCTTGATTGAAATCATTTCAATGAAATATGTAGCTTATTTTCTTCTCTCTTTACTAAAGTGAATTTACCCTGTGGCCAGAGTACCATCAATTATTTTGTTGAAAATAGAAAAAGAGTAACTCTATGCCATTTTTAAAATTTCTTTTTCTAATTTGCTACAAAAATAGCAAATACAGAATCTAAGATTCAGGGAAGAAATGGTACCCTCACATTAAGAATGTAGTAACCAATAGAACATTTACTAATTTCTAGAAATAGTTTTGAATTATTAGACTTTGGTATCCCTGATTCCAATTAATGTCTATGGTTCAATGTGTGTATCATTTCACATTAAATTCCTTGCACATCATTATTTTAAAATCATAAAAACTAAAAAGTTTTCCAAAGATAAATTATTGCCATCAACATTTCCATCTCTCCTCAAAAAGTCCTTTTAGTCATTACTAATATTGTGCTAGCCCCACTTTACTTCAGGACTGACACGAATAAGAAGAATACTTTATCACCATGTAATAAAGACACCTAAACATGAATACATTGGTTAAAACATAAAGACAATGTCCTTTGCTGTATATAGAAAATATGTCAGGTGGTCTTACCCATCTGGTGGAGTGAAATAGGGCTAGGTAGCTTGTACCTTTAAAACCCTCAGGGACTGGTACCATGGTCTTACCCATCTGGTGGAGTGAAATAGGGCTAGGTAGCTTGTACCTTTAAAACCCTCAGGGACTGGTACCATGGTCTTACCCATCTGGTGGAGTGAAATAGGGCTAGGTAGCTTGTACCTTTAAAACCCTCAGGAACTGGTACCATGGTCTTACCCATCTGGTGGAGTGAAATAGGGCTAGGTAGCTTGTACTTTTAAAACCCTCAGGGACTGGTACCATGGTCTTACCCATCTGGTGGAGTAAAATAGGGCTAGGTAGCTTGTACCTTTAAAACCCTCAGGGACTGGTACCATGGTCTTACCCATCTGGTGGAGTGAAATAGGGCTAGGTAGCTTGTACCTTTAAAACCCTCAGGGACTGGTACCATGGTCTTACCCATCTGGTGGAGTGAAATAGGGCTAGGTAGCTTGTACTTTTAAAACCCTCAGGAACTGGTACCATGGTCTTACCCATCTGTTGGAGTGAAATAGGGCTAGGTAGCTTGTACCTTTAAAACCCTTGACAACTGGTACCATTGGCGACAGAGAGAAATTTCTTCTGTGTTAACTTCGGAGCATGTCTGGTCACATCTCTCTGGTGGTGGTTAGCTCTTTCTGAACCCACATGGTTTTATTAACCGATGTAACCATTATAACCCATTTTTACAAAAATAAAAATATTTCTGATAGTAAATATAAGTATCATTAAAACTTCTCCATTTCTAACATTGTCCAGCTATGTTATTCATAGCATCTTTCTGTTGAACTACATCTCTGTCACTTCAAGTCTTCATCTCTGAGGAAATTACCCAGAATTCACTGCCATATAGGAAGATTGATATTACATAGTAGTTTTCTTAAGAAATTTTTTCTATCTCTCAGTACTTTTAGTTTCTGGAAGGCGTCTTTTATGATTCCATTGCACCTTCAGATTTCAATGTCAAATTTCCATTATCTGCTAAAACACTAACCAGATAGTTAAACTTCTGTATTTTTCTTGAGTTTGATTCACACATTGAGCTGTCCCTCTTGTTGATGATCAGATATTCTGTATTTTACAGTTCTTTTTATTTTCTTTTTATACGTTGTCTTAGAGTTCTTAGAATTTTCAGAGTCTTCTATTAACATAATGTCATCTGCATCTCATGTTAAGATTGTACCTACCAGTGATAAATCCTAATGGGATATCTATTTTCTTAGGATTGTCTTGGTGTACATTTAAATAAATATGATGATAAAACATCCCTGTTTTTTATGCCTCTTTCTATCTATGTATACTTGCTTAATTTGTTTTCTATTTGCATGTAGATGGTTTGTCCACCATTTATTCTAATATCTTTCCCAAATAATTTTTCACTGCAGTTCAAATAGATCTTAGTTTTGTACCTTATCAAATGCTTTTGCATAATCTATAAAATATAGGTATAGGTGCATTGCTCATTCAATTAACATTATTAACATTCTCATCATAAAAATAGTATTTCTTGTTCCAGTGTTTTGAATTACACTGTTCTTGCCCTATTTCTGATTTAATTTTACTTCAAGCTCTATTCATCAGAATCCAGCTTAGTTATAAGGCTCATTAAGCTGATTGCCCAATGTAGTTTGAATTAATAAGCATTTGGCTTCTTAAACATTGCTATGAAAATGGATCTAGTAAGATCTTCTGGTATTTCACCGCTGTCATATATATTTCATTTATTAGGGGTTTAAAAACAGACATTTTGAAAGTATATATAAATATATATAAAACAAGGCAAAGGAAGATCAAGAATAAATAAAATTACTTACTGTGGTGGTGGAGAACTTTCAGAGGGAAATTAACGGGAGATAACTGATAACTGATATTAAACATGGCATGTGGAACTAGAACAGTCTACCCCAGTGAGTGAAATAAAGATTTCAGTTTGACATTCCAATCACCTGAAGAAGGCCAGAGCGTACAACGGCCGAAACGTAGTAATAGTTCGAATAATGTAAATAATGTATCTGATGCCTTGATCTTGATCCTCATCCTTCTCTTTATCCTTTCGTCTATCACGCCTCTTTATTCTTTCTCACACTCTCTGTAGCCACTTTCTTTAATGAAACATTATCATGTATATGAATATATGAATCTTACATTTGAAGCTTGTGTGTTAACCTGCGCTTTTTCCAGTAATTTCTTTATTGGTAGTTTTGTTTTTGATTTGAAATTGTCAGTTTGACATTTTGAAGAAAAGATGTAAAAATGCCTCTTTTTCTCAAAATTCTGTATTATTCATTAACACTAATTACTTATATTTTGCATTGTTTAGTCTCAACTTAAGTGATGCATTGATGGTATGAGTTATTTGAACTTACAGTTTATCTTTCACAACAAAAGTGACTATGAGTTGGAATAATTAATGAAAGAAACAAACTTGTCTCTTTTTTTTTTTTTTTTTTTTTTTTTTTAAAGAAAAACAAAACCTTTCAGATTATCAGGATGATTTGTCTTCCTGTTTCATAACTAAAACTAAAAAAATACTCTGATTATAGCACATTTAATGTAAAACTCTCAGACTATTTCATCATTCTATCACATGAAATAATGTTTTCTTGATGAGTGCATGACAGTTTATTTCCATTGATATAGTATTGAAAGTTTTTGTTGATTCTGTTCATGTGTTAACCATTTTAAAACCACTACTTCAGTCATAAGAATAAGTATTTTCAAAAGAAGGATGTTTTTTTTTATTTATTTATTTTTGTTATTTATCATAAAAGAGAGAATCTCCAAACTAAAATTGAATTAATAATTGGCATGAAAATTTCTCTGTTTTGATTTTATATTTTCTTTAAGGGCATGACTAATGTATTTAATTCTTTTCTCTTCCTAGCAACAAGAGCAGGATCCAACCAATTTGTATATTGCCAATCTACCACCCTATTTCACAGAGGAGCATTTAGAAGATATGTTTAAAGAGTATGGCACTGTTATTTCTACCCGGATTTTACGGAAACCAGATGGCATCAGTCGAGGTGTTGGATTTGCTCGGATGGAAAGCAAAGAAAAATGTGAACAAATTATACAGAACTTCAACTCAAAGATGCTTGCAGGTAAAGTAGAATTTTTAGTTTGGAAGCTGCTGTTATTATATATGTGGAATGACACTTACTGGCAAATTCAGAAATGGCACACCTGAGGGTGAAAAAAAAAAAAAAAAAAAAAGAAGCAAAATTCTGATTTTTATCTAGTGGTATGGTTTAATAATACATTTAAGAAAATTAAAATTTTGAGAACGTTTTTTTTGCTGTCTTCATAAGTGATAGGTATTCTAACGAGCCAATCACAGTAGGGCTTGATAATCAATAGTATTGGGTATTATCATTTATTTATGTTATAAAAATTAAATTCTACATGTAAGTATTAATCCCCAGAAGAGGCTTAACATTCTATTTGTAAGTAACAACCACAGAAAAATTAGCAAATTTGATAATTAACATTTTATCTTTTGAGTTTTTCTTGTAATTAGAAAAAAAAATTTTTTATGTTAATTTAAACCTTTTTAAAGACTATTAAAAATGATCTTTTTACAGAGATCAGAAATATCAGTGTCATTTATTCTTTTTAAAATTATTTCAAAGATTTTTTTTTTTTTTTGTCTATATAAAATTTATATCTTAAGTTTTTGTTAAATTGTAAATCAGACTCCTGTAGAAAAGGCCCATGTTATCATTTAAGAACTGTCTCTTTACAATTATGACCTTTCGATGTTCTTAGAGTTAGACACCCAGGACATCTCTCCCTCATATTCTGTTCTTAGAGTCTGATTCAGGGAACAGCAAGTCTCTCCTTCATATTTTCCAAATCTCTATACATTGTGGTAAATGCAGTTCTTCTATTTTTCTTTTTTTTTTTTTTCTTAAACTCTTTTTTTTTTTAATTGGAAAGCCATCTTTAGAAAGAGTAGATGTACTGTGAAAAAAAAAACAGCTCAATAATGTTCCCCAAAATTAGATTTATTCAAAGAAGTGAGAAAAATCTGGTATAGTCGATCATATCTGGAGTGAGAATGGTGTACGTTACCTTTTCTGGGAGTTAATCTGATTGGAAATGCCATTGGGGAGGGAGATAACTGAACACCTAAATCAATTGTTGCAGAAGTCAGACCAGTGTGAATTTCAACACATTGTAGCTTTCATTGTGCTTTAAAAGGATTCAAGAAGGATTTTTTTGTTGCTGTTGTTGTTGTTTAACAAAGAACTTGAAAACATCACCACATTTAAAATGAACCCTAACTGAGCTGCAATGCATTGCTGAAAATAGAAAAATTTAGTTTACAAGTGTTGTTAAATTTTCTGTTTACTATAGTTTTTTATACTTTGCACTACTAATAAAAGACAATGACTTTTTTCATGTGGGTAGTACCCTGGAAGGCCATAGAATGGATCAATCAAAATGTGGGAAAAGAAAAAAATCACACACACACAAAAAAAAGAATGAGATTACATGCAGTTATCTTTAAAAATTACATTTTTATAATTACCAAGATGTAAATTTCACAATTGTAGTCACTTCCTTAACTTAGAACAGTGGTTTGTTTGTGTTATACCAATCTTTTTAAAGTTTTAAGCTTTTTTATTTAAATTGATAATTGCTTCATTTCATTGCTTTTTTGACTCTCCTGGTTTTAAGCATTTTTTTTTTATCACTGACTTAATTTACAACTCTGTTTCAGTTTTTCTGTATTTAAGAAATAATGCTGAATGATGTTTCAATTTGAATTTAGTTTATAGTGTGCTATTTATGAATTTCTAACAAATTCTATAAATATTTGATTTTTTTTTTTTGCCTCTGTTTCATTTAACAGCTTTCTTTCTTTTTAATAAAAAGATTTTATCATAATTGCATTCCTCATGAAGAAAATATTAAATGTAGATTCAACTTTAGCTTGAAATAAATTTATAATCAAAATAATTTGGAAAGATGAGGCAATCCAAACACTTTAGTTTATATTTTTTGTTTTGCTAATTTTATTTATATTTCTCTTGCTTTGTAATCTATATTGATTACCTTGGTTTGCATGAACTTTCCTGTTAGTCACCAGAATATGTTTCCTTTTTATATTGCTATTGACTCTTCTTTCCACTTTCTTTCTTGTTACTCCATTTGAGAACACAGACTTGACACTTCATCACACTGATATAGTATACTTAATAGTAATTGTCTATATTTCTGAGATGAGGTGTTATGCACACTAGTTACATTATTCAGACTATTGTCAAGGACACATGACACAGTAGATAAAGGCGTTAGTTAGATCCAGTGGCAGGACCGAAAGAGTGTGAATTCAATCCCTGTTAAGGCAGTGGAGAACTTGGAGAGGGAATTAAGCAGGAGATAACTGATAACTGACATCCATTAGACATGGCATGTGGAACCCCAGTGAGCAAAATAAAGGGTTCAGTTTGACATTCCAACCACCCGAAGAAGGCCGTACAGTGGCTGAAATGTTGTAATAAAAATGGTAACAAAAATGAGGACAATAGTCTGAATAATGTAAATAGTGTTAATAGTAATTAATAATAATAAGAAGAAGAAATATAAATAAAAATCTTCAATGAAAATTTGGTAATTAAAAGTTCTGGCCTGATTGTTTACTGATTGCTTCATTCAAGCCCTATTCGTTATTACAGTCAATTCAAGTCTTCAAAAGTGTAAGGGAAAATTTCTCCAATCAAATTTTGATCAGAAATAAACACAAAAGGAAAATAAGGATTTGCAACAAAACAATTATCACTCACCACAGAAGTTAAATTTTTTGTTCATAATTATATTTTTTCAAGAATTAATTTGTCTTACCATTCTGAAAAGTGAGGTAGCATTATTTTCTTTTTTAAATTTTTCTATTCCATGGAATACTTGTGGTATTTTTGGAATGGTATTCTAGGAATTCCTGTAAATTTGTAAAATTCTTGAGATTTTCCTTTGATGAACCATTTTTTTGGTTGTGAAAGCTTCAGACTTTAGATCCCCACCTTGATAGCACCTTCCTGTGGTACTAAAAGGGACATATACAAGGACCTTAACCTAATGGAGTGCTCAGGTAATTTGGGGGTTAAAAACACTGTTAAACTTGGTATTACATTTTTATATTTTATAAATGGCTACAAAATGCATTTTCATTTTGGAAATATTAAAAAAGAAGGCCCATTTACAAATGAATTTTTGAAAATGAAAAATAATAATGACTAGACAGATGTTTTTGTTTGTGTACGTTCTTTTTTAGTTAATCAAATAATTTACCAATTCTCTTGTGCTTCATGCAGAAATTGTTTATTAAATAAGTTTTTTCATTGTTGCTTATACTAAAATTTGCACAATACAAGGCTCGGTAGTCACTCAAGATAGATGGTTACCAACCAATGTGTATGATATGAATGAAAGAGGATGATGTAGAAAGTGAAGCTTATGAAGATATAGAAAATAGATAACACTTGACCCATGACTTGAAGAGATTAAGATTGTAGCATTGTTTTTGTTTCATATTTCTGCAATTTGTCTGGATATAGATTTATTTTTGTCATTAGTCATGATAAACTTTAATGCTGTAAAAGATTTTACATATATTTTTAATGCAATGTTTTGTATATGATCAACATGAATATATATATATATATATATATAATGCCTTTAAATTCCTTGAGGAACATCAAGCCGCAAGATATCGTTGCAGTTTCTATAACAAGCCATTTTTTTAAGTAAGTTGTTAGCCTACTGCACAACCCCCAACCTGGAGAATCAGGTTTTGAATTCTGAGTTGTCCTTCTCTTTGACCAGTTGCTACCCAAGGCTATAGAACACTGTCTTTTCTGCTATTTATCCATAGCTGGGTAGGAAAGAATATGATCCATACCTTTCCCAAGGGTATTAGCATGTAAGTGAATGTAATGGATTTGACTGGAATTTGAACTCAGCTTTCCGATTCCTCAATCTGAGCCATTATCTATTTATCTACTGAGCCTCCTCAATCAACATGAGTGGTAATTTTTATACTTCTCATTACATCGTTCTTGCTCACCATGGAACTTTTATTTGTATTATTCCCAGAAATCCCACTTCTCGGTCTCACTAACCCTAGTTGTCGTCAAATTTGAGCAAATATAAAAATATAGTTTAAGTGCATTTGATAAATTTTGTTTGGTTAAAAGTTTAATTTTATGACTAATGAAAATTATTCTAAATTTCATTTGATTTCTACTCAAAAAGAAAAATGTTCATTTGAGGAAATGTGTCCTTCCATTGCAACAAGAGGGTAGTAGTTTTTGATTATTTATTTAGAGTTTGGAAAAGGTTTTTTACTGCTACATTAGATGTCTATATGTCAGAAGTCCTATACAAAAGAATGGAATTACTATCTTTGCAAAATGTCATTTAAAAGATGATTTATAATCATTATTGCTTTTAGCGTTTGCAATAAGTCATTCTGTTTGCACTGAACTTTTCTCACCTGTTTAAAATATTTGATGTGCAAACTGTAATTAATGTATTTCTCTCCATTTTTATGCCTATCTCCTATATATATGATTCAGTTTTAGCAGCAAGAGAAAACATTACTTTTAAATTAGGCACTGAAAATTCTTTTTTTTTTTTTTTTTTTTTTTTTTTTTTTTTTTTCTGTATATGCATAGTGCCTTGGTTTCACAATTTTAATGTATACACAATTCAAGAATATAAACTATTATATTTCTACAATAATTTCAAATAAAAATATAATTTTATCTGCAAAAAACTGCACTTGTTCATGCACTAGATTTTTCTTTATTTGCATATTTCTATTTTTCCTTTTATCTTACTGGTGAAAAAATATTGTACTTTTGATACACAAAAAATATCACATGTTGTGGCACTTAAAAAGAGTAGAAAATGCTTAAGTGGAAAATACAATTTTTTTTTTTTTTTTTTTGTAATCCAACCTCCGCCTGATTTCTGCTGAGATACTTTTCCGCTCTGTTTTATCAAACACTCCTCCATCAACTGATTTAACAATATTCAGACATGCAATGTTGAAGCTCTGTAAATTTCGACAGTGTCCGATTTCTGCTGTAAAAGTGGAGTTTGCAAAAATGCTGTGTTTTACTGGTTCTAATAGATTACTTTTACTCAGGAATCTTGCATTTCTGTAAAAATAGTGAGAATTAAAGCTTAAAATAAGATTTGTTTCTGGACTAATTTTATATGCTGTACATACCTACACAAAGTTGTTTGATTATTAATGGGAAAAAAACCTCACTGTCATAGATTTTTTTACTTATAACTGAGAATAAAAGTCGATTCTATGCAAAAACTAGAAATATCAAATATTTTCACATTATTCTTTTAGTTCTCTGTTAGGAGGATAAATTTTGTTAAATTTTAAAATGCAGTTTTTTATTTTTTTTTTTTTTTTTTTTCTTTTTTTTTTTTTAAGGAAAAAAAACATCAACTTTATTTTGAATTGTTAAATATTTTGTCAGTATTTCCAAAACTTAAAGAAAATTTATTTTAGGGGTTTATTTTTAATTTTTTTTTTTTTTTTTTTTTTATTGCAGGGTGGGGGCTCATCTGGGAGATTATAGGGGTGGTGTCCTGGTTTCTTTGTGATATTTCTTAGGGAGATGATTTGGTAACTTGCTATAGTGCCCATCTTCTCTCCAAGTAAACAAGGAATTACATGGTATCAGTAGTTAGGTAAAATCCATGATTTCAATTCACTCTTTTCTGTCAATCACCATGACAAGCCAGTGACAAGACCTTTGTTATTTGATGAAACAAAATGGAATCTTTTTCCCAAGAGCATTCATGCCAAGTGAACACCTGAATCCTTAACAGGAATTCAAATTGACATGCTAATTTTATTTTCCATGTTGATAATAATTGCGCTTCCAGATCCTAGGTTTGGCAGAGGAGCTGCGGAGAGTGTGAGGGAGAGACAAGAGGTAGAGATAGATAACCAAAGCTAATCACAAAAGACTCCATCTCCATCTCCACATATAGGCAATCTGCATTTCATTTTCTAAAATAGAGATGATTTGATTGATCTCACCAAAAGAATGAATTATAGTGTTTGCTTAGTTTGATTAAAATATTTTTACCTTCACCTGCTCTTGTATGTCATGTAATAAGAGATGCTTTATATGAGGATTTTGTCTCAATATCTAAATGTGTGTGTGTGTGTGTGTGTGTATGCCTGAAAAAATTTATTTTTTTGAGAACTCTCTTGCTTAAATTTGCTTTCCCATTTGGGGAACTGATTCACAGTTGCTTACTTCCTTCTTTCATTTTAATCAGTCAACGTTTTATTGCAATTCTTACATACACCCAACAATGTACATGCCTCTTCATTTTGTTAGAAATTTAAAAAAAAAAAAAAAAAATTTTCATGTCCAAAGAAATTTATTGTGCTTGTCTTCATGTGGAACTTGGACCTGGCCTCATTTAATTTAATTTTACAGACAGCATTAAAACAAACAAGTGTTTTTGCTTTGATTATTGACTTCAAACAACTAAAACCCTCGTATCACTAAAAGTCAGTCATGGAAATAATGCAGACTTTGGATGTGACTCATCCATTTGACTTTTTGTCCAAAGAAACAAAAAACATTAATGGCTTCATTATTTTGTGTGTTTTTTTTTTAGTTTTTTTTTCTATCAGAAAGAAATTGTTCTTTTGAGAAAAGCAAATCATTCTTCCTTTTTTAGTTTTGAATAAGAACAATTTGTTAGAAATTATTTGATCATTGCAAATTTATATTTCATTGTAGATTTTAAATTTATTTCTTATTAAATGTTTATATTAAATAGATCCACACAGATTAACAAGGATTGGAAAGCATACAAATAAAAAACTATCTTAAAATATATGGCCTCTAACTTTTAATTAAGATGTAAATGGTCTGTGATAACCTAGTTTTTCATCTTGTGAGAAATTAATGAACTAAGAATGCTAGAGTATGAAGCAAAAACAAACGGATTTATTAACTTGTATAAAAGTAATTTTTAGATAAAGTTCAGTCAACATTAGTTATGCTCATTGAATATTTTTAGTCAAACTCTCAGAATTAATGAACTATTCTTAATTTGTATTGGGTTCTTCAAGTTAAAAACTATAAATAATTTCTATTTTGGTTTTCTTTTGCTACGAGAGTAATTTATGATTCTTTTCTTTTTCATGTCTGCTCTGAAGTAATGAGTGGAAAATACAAAATTTCTCTTTATATTGTTAGGTGGTAAAGAGCCTCTCTTAGTGAAATTTGCTGATGGTGGCAACAAGAAGAAGGCTCAATATCAACAAAATCGCACCTGGCCAGATAGGGGAGAAGCCAACAATTACAGCTTTGTTACCGTGAGTAACTCTTTCTATTTGATTTCCTTATTGTTAATAATTCGGTCTAACCTCTATATTGTCAGCAATTTCAAAAAAGGTGATTAAAAAAAATGTTAACTTAATATTCTTTCTTTTCAAACCACATAATTGACTTTATTTTTACTCATTGAGTATTATGAGAAGACAAGGGTTCTACAAAAATGGGCAATTAAAAATTTGAGTGTAATACATGTAGTTGTCAAGTTCATTAAATAGCATCAGTAGTCTATGCAGATAAATACCTTTGCAGGAAAAAAAATCTTATTTCCTAAGTTTTACTTGATTTCTCCTCATTTTATACATTTGAAATAGGTTTAACCTATTAACTACCAAAAGTCAATTAAGAAATCTGGCTTCAAATGCCAACTTAATAATAGTCAACTTAAGCAATAAAAGTTTTTCAAATGCTTCATTTATATTTTTGTTATATAACATCCCTATGAACACTAATAGATATGTCCCAATCCTCATAAATACATTGGACACTATTGTAAGTGGGGGTAATATGCTGTCTAAGTAGTCCACCGCTAGCAGTGGTTTACCTATTTCATGTTGCTGGAGAGTCTTGTATTTTCTTGATGTTAGAAAGATTACCGTTTCATTTCCAACCTCCATTTTGGTTATTCAGTAACCTTTTCTAGGTTACAACAATTTTCAATAAATTTTTCTCCTAAAAAGTTTGTTTTAGTTACCAGTACGATTTTTCATTCCTACCTTAGACAGCAAGTGCCAGTGGTTATTAACAGTTATTTGTGTTAAAAACAACAGAAAAACTTGTGGACATAGCCTTGATGGCAAGACCACAAAAACAAGATAACTCATGGTTGGCAGTCAATAAGTAATGCTAGCATTTTAGTCTTTGGAAATATTTGAAGTGAATTGAATTTTCAACTTGCACATATAAATTATTAAATAACAGATAATTTTAGAAAATTTAGAAAATTAGTTTTTATTTTATATATAGTTGACATTAAGATCATAAAGGCACTTGTTTATATCTGCATGGTAACTGTTGGAAAAAAATCAGGCTGCCTTGAGAGAGAGATAAAAATGAAGGAATATATATATAGAGAAAGAGACAAAAGAATGAAATATATATATATATAAAAGTAAACATTGAAGTCAAAACTCAGAGGTGACAGGCTGTTTCATGCTGGACGCAATTGTCAGGTGGCCTGACAATTGCATCTAGCATGAAACAGCCTATTGTCTGAGTGTTGACTTCAATGTTCACTTATATTCCTTCATTTTTATCTTTATATATATATATTTTCATTCTATCTGTCTATATATATATTCCTTCATTTCTCTCTCTCCATATATATATATATATATATATATATATAAAAAATTATTTTTATAAGAATGCTAACTATTAGCTTAGTTTTACTGTAATTTATTTCCTGAAATATTTATTTCTTTTTTTTTTTTTTCCAGTAATATTTTTTCTATCTAAAACTTAAATATTGTCCACTCAGTAATAAATGTTATATACATTGCTTAAAATTCCAAAATGAAAATTATGGATGCCTTCAGAAAATAAATTCTTATTTAATTCAAACCCTAGGTAATTTATTCTTGCTTTCTTAGAAACTTGTGCAGAATTTTTAAAGATTGATTGTCAAATTTTGCCTCTAATGAGGTTCACATTTACAATGCAAAATTCCCACTAAGTTTTATTGTGCAATCAGAAAAAAGTTCCAGCTTTTTTGTAAATTGACATATATGGCAAAGTAATATCTATCCTCATCAGTTATTTCTTTTGACTATATTAGCATACCAAACACTAATTTGGTCAGTCTGATCTTGCAGTTTTGTAGGAAGTCTGTAAATCTTTGGTAGTAAGTTCTGATTCTAATCAATCATTAAAAGTGATTTTTGAGAATTCCCTTTCTGCTGTCTGTTAAGTTCTTAATTAAAAAAGAATAAACTTAAGTAATTTATATTATTGCCTTTCTTTATATATTTTCTGTATACTTTGATGATCATTTGCTCTGATAATTGATGTCTCACTAGCATTTTAAATCTATGGCCAGTGAGACAAACCAAAAAATTCCCATCTGTAAGACTCATGTTTTACCAATCTGCTAACTTTGCAAGCTTTCAAATAGCAACTATTCCCTATCATTTATTTTATTTTTTTTTGTTTGTTTGATTGCTTGTTGCTGCCACATCATTAATTTTAATGGACCATTTGGCACCTTCAGCCAATCAGACTGATTCTAATGCTTCCAAGCATTTCTCATTGCAAACATTGTCAATAAGTCCCCAAAGGAATTGATGGATAAGATATTTATCAGATTTCTACAATTTAATTATGTGAATCTAGCTTCATATAGTATTTGTCATCTGAGAATTGCTCCACCAGCAGAATCTACAAGATCTAAAAAGTGTGTTTGGTTTATAGTCCAAGGAAATATTTAATGAATTTCTATAATTTCATTTGTTCTTGAACACTGGTCAATATTACTTGTCATTTTTAAAATTTTTGTCATTGTAATTAGTAAAAAAAGAAAAAAAGGATCTGCCAATAATTTCACTCCTATTATTATTTTTTTCTTGAATATCTAGACAAGGAACCTATAGCCAGTTTTACTAATAAAGAATTCCTTAATGTATCTCTGATATTAAATGTTGAAATCTTTTTTTTTTCTTTTTTTTTTTTGAACTGGAAAACCAAATTTTGTTAATTTCTTTATTTTGTCTTTTAATCTTTTTTATAATTTATTTCCATTTTATTATTAGAAAAATATTATTGTTCTGAACTAATCACAGTAACTTGGACAGAATAAAATATTTTTGCGAATAGTAAAATGAAATTGTCTAGTGGATATGAAATAGCCAACTATTTCTTTTAGGTCAAATATCTCACCACTGTGATATAGAATATAATTTTAGGTCAAATATCTCACCACTGTGATATAGAATATAATTTTAGGTCAAATATCTCACCACTGTGATATAGAATATAATTTTAGGTCAAATATCTCAGTTTATAGAATATAATTTTTAGGTTATTCACCACTGTGATATAGAATATAATTTTAGGTCAAATAACCACTGTGATATAGAATAATTTTAGGTCAAATAACCACTGTGATATAGAATATAATTTTAGGTCAAATATCTCACCACTGTGATATAGAATATAATTTAACACAGTTTTGTTATTTGCCATAATGTATAAAACCCATCATTAATTTAAAAAAACAACTGCTCATTGCATAGTTATTTATTGTACTGAGTCTAGTCTTGCAAATAGCTAAAAGTATGGATGCAGCTCAAACTAAACTTGCAATACTAAGTCTTTAAGTCAAGCTTATTAACCATTGTTCTACAAGAAGATATTCAGGTCATCTTTATAAAAATAATAAGATTAACAAACCATCTAATTACTTACCATTTATTCTCTGAAGACAATACATTAATTTTTCTTCCCATGGACAGTTCAATAAAACTGAACAACATTCTTTACTAGCTTTGGCAGGATCACCCCTGCTACTGTTTAGCTGTTAATGCTCTAAAAGAAATTTTGTTTTTTCTTTCTTCTCTTTAATTGTAACTGATTACTTATTCCCTCACAAAAGAATATTTTAATGCATATTAGGCTGTGCAGTTAATATTCTATATTCTCTTCTCTTCTCGTCTGTATCCCAAATGCTTCTGGTAACCACATTCCTTAATAAATTTAATGCAACTCAGAGCCATGAGAATTTATATAAACTAAGCAATATAGGTCAAGACACTTTAAAATAGAACACAAGTAAGTAGATATGTCACTGACTTGGCTATGTTACAATGTCCTTCCTAAGTTAGGGGCAAAATGAAATGATAGTGACAGGGACACTTGAATTAAAAAAAAGCAGATAAACATACCAAACATTTTCATAAGTCTGTTTTATATGATAAAAGCAGATTGCCAAAACAATGGAGAAATATCTTCATCAAATGCAATTCATCTATTTATTTTTTTTATTTTTTTTTACACCTGCTGATGGAATTTTAATCTAAATTCTTCCATTCTGTTATACAGTTTGGATTTAAGTAAAAAAAAAAAAATTTTATGAATAATTTTGAAGAAGTGCTGTTATCAAATGGTGTCCAACTTCATGTTTTCATGTCAGCAGCAGAAAAGAAAAAACAGTTTATTTAGTGAAAATAGCTTATTTCATGATGAAAATAATGGAAATAGTTTATAGGCTAACGAAAATAGCTTATAGGATAATTAAAATAATAGAAATAGCTTAAACAATAATGAAAATAGTGAAACCCCGTTTTTTTTTTTTTAACAGGAATTGTTTTATCCCTTGTTTCCGGTTTAGGATTAGGTTTCCAGTTCCTTTAACTCTGACATGTCTACCAGAACTCTGAAATTTTATTCTGTAATTACCGTATTTGATGGCTTGTAAAGTGCACTTTCTTTCTTTTTTTTTTTTTTTTTTTTTTTTTTTTTTTTTTTTTTTACTAAAAATATCTTTTAAAATTCCCCTGTGTCTTATATGCCATATGTAGGTTTATTGATTTTACTAATTACTAATTTTTGTCTTTATTTGCCCTGCTGAAATTGGGATGTGTGTTATACACTGTCAAATACGATATTATTTTTTCTTCTCTCCATAGGTGTAGATATGCTTTCGTATCATCTGGTTCACACTAGTCTTTTGAACAGGTTTAGAGGTTTATCCCTTGTTCCCTGTTTGGGTTTCCGGTCCCTTTTAAAGTCTGCTTCAACTCTATACTTCTGTCATCTCTGCAACACTGAATTTTTTTAATATTTATTTTATTTATTTATCCCAAGCCAAATAAGAGTAGAGCAGTTCATCTCTCATCCAATTCATATTCCAACTCGGGCTTTTGAACAGTAGTAGAGGTTTGTCCCTTGTTTCCTGTTTAGGATTGGGTTTCCAGTTCCTTCTAAAGTCTACTTCAACTCTATCATCTGTGCCTGGACTCTGAAATTTTATTCACTAATCTTGACC